TGTGTGTGTGTGTGTGTGTGTGTGTGTGTGTGTGTGTGTGTGTGTGTATTTATGTGCGTCGCCGTGCTCTGGCCGTGCTGCAGAATTGCAGGGAGGCTCCGGTTACATTGTTATTCTAAACAGGGTGTTTTCAGCCGCTCGTCCCTCGCAGTCATTCAGCAGAGCGATCTGTCAGTGCGCCCGCCCCCCCTTCTTCCCTCCAGGGACTAAACTGTGAACTTAACACACTCGGCTCTGATGACTCTCCTGATGGTGCAAAAAACAGCCAACTCTACAGCTGTAATGTTATTGCTGGAGTGGCTTGAATGTTGCATTGTTCCTCTGGTTTAAAGTGTGTGTGTGTGTGTGTGTGTGTGTTACAGTGTGTGTAGTACATATTCAGAGCGAGGGATGGGAGAGTAAGTGTGTATGTCACCATTTCAATCTCTTCCCGGTAACCCGCAAAATACTGGGGTGGGGTGAGGTTGTGTTTTTTTTGTGTGTGTGTGTGTACGTGTGTGTGGTGTTTGAGGTGGGTTGTTGAGGTCTAGATGAAAGTGGAAAAGCAGGGGAGGAAACCAAATAATCGAAAGGGAGAGGGAGCAAACGAAAGCGTGTGTGAGTGTGCGAGAGAGAGGAGGGGGGGAGGGAAAGGGAAAGGGGGCAGGCATTTTTAAAACACTGTGGAGTCCAGATCAGAAATAAAACATAAAAAAGGGGAGAAGAAGAAGAAGAAGGAGGAGTAGGAGGGAAAAAGGGAGGAGGGATTGTGCTCGAGTGTGTTATGTGTGCAGATTCTATGAAGTGAACACAGCCAGGGAGTAAATTGTGCAAGCCCAGAGAGCTCAGCTCTGCATGTTCGAGCTGGCACTTTTGATTTAGACGGAAATTATAATTTTTTCTGTCGCAAGATCTGTTTTTTTTTCCTGCTCCTCCTGGTGTATTATCTGCTAAGACAAAGGCAGGAGAGAAAAACATCTAAAGAGGGAGAGAGAGAGAGAGAGACCCACAGTGAATAGATGTTGCGCAGCTGACAGCAGAGGAAGCGGCAGAGAGAGTTTCCAGCCATCACGCTCCCCGACCACAGCCTTTTCTTCCTGGGAGATTTTTTAAAAAAAGGACAAAAGCGTCTCTCCCCCCCGCCCACCTTCTCCAACCCGCTACCATCCGATCACCAGCCTGCACGCCGCTGGCGTATGGTGCTTTTCTCTCAGCCCTCAAAGGCATGGACTGAAGATGATGCAGCCGGGGGCTTAGTGAGAGATCGCTCCGCAAAGAAACCCCTTCCCCTCACTAACAGGGCCAGACCAAGAGGAGCAACTCCGGGGGAGGGGGGGTTGGAGGAGGTTGAGAGAGAGAGAGAGAGAGAGAGAGAGAGAGAGAGAGAGAGAGAGAGCGGGGGTGGGGGGGCGTCCTCCTTGGATTATTACGGAGGGTCTTCCACTTCCCTTTTTTTTTGTATTTTTCTCCTTTTTTCCCTCTCTCCATTCGCCTCCATCGTCTTCCGTTTGTGCTGCGATGCGTAGTTTTTAAAGACGAAGAATGTGGAGACAACATTTTCCAGGCAAGCAGCATGTTTCCTGTTTTCTTTTCTGGATGTCTAATAAAGTCTGGCATGTGGGAGGGGAGGTGGGTGGATGGGGAGAAGTGGGGGAGTGTGGAATAGAGGAGGGGAGAGAGAGAGAGAGAGAGAGAGAGAGTGTGTGTGTGTGTGTGTGGGAGGGGGTGGGTGTGTTGTGTGGTCGGTAAGGTCGGCAAGTAGTCTAAAATGCAGTCCTTTCGAGGTCCGCCCGTCCTGCGCTGCCGCTCTTGGCTCCATGTTTTTCTTCCTCTGCGGTCTTGGGCTTTGAACGCTCTCCGTAGCTCTGGGCAACGGCGAAGAATAAAAGAGCGGGAAAAGAAGGTTGGGGGGGGGCGAGGTCCGGCTGGGTTGTGCCATGGATGCTGTTGACACCCGCTTTTGTCCCGGGTGCGGGCCCTGCCCGCCCATGCACACAGAGGGCACCATTTAAAACAGCCGTGCGCTCATTTTCTTGGCAGGGGACGGATTGGTGTGGCGGGCAGCCGGGTGGTGACAGGGGTGGGGCACTAGCAGTGCAGGACAAGTAGCCTTTGTGTGCTACTTTTGGGGAAGTGAGGGGAGGGCAGGGAGGAGGCTGCCAACAAAGGGTGCTTATACCCCCCCTCACCCTCTTTACCCCCTCTCTTTAACCACTACAACTCATGCAGTGAGCTCGCGCTGTCACAGGCAGATGAAGGGTTTGTGTGTGTTTATGGCAGGTTGTGTGTGTGTGTGTGTGTGTGTGTAACAGGGAGGAAAGTAGTAAATGAGTAATTGAGCCTCAGTAAACCAGAAGTACAGGCTCTGGCCAAGTGCCAATATGAAAAGGGAGGAAACTCCAGCAAGGAAAACAAAGTGTTGTTTGACCCAACGGCACATCTGTGCATTGTGCCAAACTTCTCCGTTACGCCACAGTGCTTGGCATCTCCTGGCAGCGCGCCACGCTTGTGTGTGTGGGTTCCTATTCATTCGTTGCCACATCCATGCAAGTGCATTCCTGTTGTGTCCGTGTTTTCATGCCGATCTCACTTTTGCCGTTGCAACTTGATCGAGTACTCGAACACGTAGTTGCACACGTTACACGCGATTTAGTGCTGAGGTTGAAAGCTTTTTGTTGAATATGAGTATAGTATAGAATCTTCTTATCAAATCCATCTGTAAGGAGCTAATGTTGGACAATTTCTTGAGCTATTGAAAGTCCCAGTTTATAGCGATTAAGTAGAAATGCTTAAATTATTGATATATGCATGAAAGTTTAACTGGGATGGAGAATAAACCACAGAAACTGGCGGAACGCTACCAGCGAGATCATCTCTCTAGACAGAAACTCACCACTCTGTTCGGTGTTGCTGAACTGCAAAACCACACAATTTACTCAAATGTAGCGTGATGTCAAAGTTGTTGTTTTCATTTCTTTCTTCAATAAACCGTCTTTGGCTGACCACAGATACCAAATTGCAGAGAGCACATTAGCCAAACACCAGACACCAAATTTGAGTTTGGCCTTCGGGCAAGTTACTCAGAGAATTATCCTTAATTCACTCCAGCCGATACAATCAGCTGGCAGTGACATTTGCCATTTTAAACGGTAAAAATCATCCTTCAGTGACGACAGTTACTTGAATGTTTTGTAGATTTTCCTTTTTGCTAATAAAGAGACGTACCAATTGGATTTATTAGTGAATTCAGCTTTTGTTTTTGCCAGCCAGGAACTAAACCAAACCCTACACACAATCCACACATCCGTACTGGTGTGTGGCTCATGTTTTCAGAACACTGCGGCTCAGTGCGGCACAGTAAATGGCCGTAACCCCCCCCCCCCCATCCAGCTCTGTTTTCAAGAAGGAGCCACCTGCAAACAGCAGCTTTGGGGTTGCTAGGTAACCGGTGGCAGCAGATGACGACAGTATGGTGGACGGCGCGTCCCTTGTTTTCTTTCTGGTCCCGTCTTCCCCTCACGGAGGCAATACAGCACCAGCAGCAGAGAGAGGCCAGTGGTAGGAGGAAACTCTCCCAGCTCCCTTCCCTCACATAATGGAAACTCTGGCCTCATCTCCCGCTGCGCCGCTCTGCTGCGTCGCTCTGCTGCCAGGCTCTGACTAAGTGTTGCTGGCTCAGGAACCGCAGCCTCCAGCCCGGGCCAGGTTCGGGTTTGTATTTGTCTACAGGAATGATTAGAATTAAAAGGTTTAATTGTATTAATGTTAGTAAGTAATCAAGTAGATTAAAGCCTTTTTCACTGGAGACCTAGATTTCCAAAATCATTTTTCAGCGTGACCTAGTTCTCATTTTTGACGACTAATTGGGAACAATTTACTGCTTTTATACTGCTAACTGAGCTCAGCACCTTTTATTACAGGGACTTGAGCATGAATATAATATCAATAGTTTGAAAGCATCTTGAAATCCTCGTCAGAAATCTTTCTGAGCTTTTAGAAAGTAGAGAGGATTCCTTTAGAAATCACCACGTGGTACTTTTACACAGCTGTTGTACTATTTCTAGTGGAGTGCCATTATGAGATAAAAAGAATATCAGTGGGATGTGGATCTAAATTGAATACTTTTGGATTATTGGTCAGATTAAATAGGAAAACATCACTCTGAGCTGTGGTTACTTGTGACGGGGATTTGTTGATTTTTGACATTTTTATAAGGCATCTAATTAAATGTTGTTATAGATAACTCGTTAAGGAAGAAAATGTGTTGCAGCCCCAGATCTGACAGTATATTCGCAGAGTGTGTGTGTGTGTGTGTGTGTGTGTGTGTGTGTGTGTGTGTGTGTGTGTGTGTGTGTGTGTGCGCGTGTGTGTGTGTGTGTGTGTGTGTGTGTGTGTGTGTGTGTGTGTTACATGCATTTATTCCTTTGGCAGGTAAACCCGCGACAACAGCTGCCTCTCTCAGTGAATATGTACTCGTCCCAAATCACCACACACACACACATTCGCAGCCTGGCAACAGTTTAGCAACAAGCAGAGGAAGCGAGAACACAGAGGAAAGGAAATGAGGGGATTAATTAATGGAGGAGCGAAATTAAGAGCACTCTGCCTCCTGCGGTTCTCACGTGACACCCCCCCCCCCCAACACTCCACAGCTCCCTGCACTCAGTGCGCACATTGGTTGACATTTGACGCGCTGTATGAATCACATTGACATATATAGTTGTTGTTATTGCTGTTGAAACAACATTTACACGTGAACTACATGTCGACAAAAACAACGGTAGCCAAAACATTCAAATCGTGGGGTGGGGGTGGAATGAGTGAAAGTTTTAAGTATCAACATAGAGAGAAAAGGTTCTGAGAAGGATGTATTGGTCGGCTCACACCCCCCAGTGGTTCTGGTTAAGACCGGTTTGATGTACATGCTGTCAGTTTACCGGGAGGGGGGGGGTGTCGGGGTGTCGCCTGTCACCTTCCCGCTTCCCTTGCCCGAATACATCATCTCCTCTCGATCAAAATCAGCAGAGTGAGAATCAATCTGTCACACAGGAGGACACACGCACACACAAATACACACTCCGGCTCCCAGAAAGACAGAGCGAGCGAGAAGGAGGGAAGTTGAGGAAACTGATAGAAAAGGGAGGAGAAGGAGTGACAGTCAAGGTGAAAAGGATGACAGAGAAAGGAGGAGCAGTGATTACAGCTGAGGAATGATGGGCAGAGGTGGGGGGGGAAAAAACACATTTACGTGAAACGAGGGATACGGCGGATACATGCTGGGTGAACACGGATACAGAGCTAGACATCGGCAGACGGGAGGAGCTGTCAGAAGATGCTATCGTACAGGGAGAGTACGATGTGATGAAATGTAGCGGTGGAAGAGTCGCTGAGAAGGGAGACGGAAAGAGTAAGAGACTGAAAGGTCAGAGAGGCAGAGAGAAACCCAGCGGATGATTCATGGAGTTCGGCCTGTCGAACTTCTGCCTCAGGGCGCGATGCAGCCTCCTCTCCTCTACCGCCTCACTCGCAGCTTCTCTCCCCTGCACACCCACGGCTGTCTGTAAGCTATATAAGCCAGTAACAGGAACATAAGCCAGACAGTAGTACTCGCAGGGAGAAGGTTGCTGTTGTTCTGGGTCTTTTCTGTTCGTCAAGGACAGCCTGGCATGCTGCAAACCGGCAATGCCTTAATCAATACTTTTTATATCACTTGACTGTGTGACGTGAAAGAGGTTATTGTTTTAGGTTCTACTGGACATTTTTAATTTACAATTATACCACAGAGAAAAGCTATTCCTCCTATTTGAAAAGCGAGAGTGGATGTTTTTTTATTTTTGTGAAATAATCGATTATCAAAATTGTAGTTCTTTAATTTTCTTTCCATCTCATGAGATGTGGTCCGGCACTAAATGCACAAGTGCGTCCTCGCCCAGCCTCACCTCAGTCTGCTGGAATGGACTCGGTCTCCATCGCCCAGCTGCTTCCATTAATATTCAACGTCCTGTCAGTTGCAGATGTGGCACAGACAGCCGAGTCGCCACGCCTCACCTTTCCCGCCGCCGTGTCACCCGCCTCGAACAGCGAGCGTGATAAGTAGGCATGGAAGTGGTGGTGGGTGGTTTGTGGGGGGGGGGGGATGCGGGGGGGATGCGGCTGTCTGTCTTTCAGGAGAGAAAACATCTCCTCTGCCCTTTGTACCGAGAGTTTGAGGGAGGGGGGAGGCACGGGTGTTTGTGCCTCTGACCTCAACTCTTGCCGCAGATGCCATCGTTGCCAAAAATAAAGTGCATTAAAACTGGCAGCCAGAGCCTGTTAAGTGATCTCCATGACAATATGGGCGGAAGGCACGAGGAGACGACCCCCCCCCCC